AGGCTGGGGAAAAAATGCTGTAAGTCCTGACCAGAACTTTGGGAGGCTACATCTTATAAAATAAGTCTTACCCTTGGCAAACAGCTATTATTTCAGACTGTGGTCAGGTGCAGTGTTGGTGTGTTGCTATTTTGATGCAGCAGAAAGTGATTGAGCATTAAAAAGAAAACCTGATCCAAGTCGAAAAGCACAGGATTTTCTTGAACTCTAAAGGGCACATTATTATGATAGTAAGATGCGCCTGCATAGGCAGGTTCACAACATGCATCCGCTCTGCTTGTTACACACATAGGGATGAGTAGATGTGTTTCAGGTGGATGAAGTAATACATCATTCATTAGAAAAATATTAATGATGTTCTGTGAACACAGCAGAGATCAGAGCAGAGCTGCAGAGCTGCTGTCTGACTCCACATCAAGGAGTCAGCAGGTTGTGTCAGAGTCATCTCAAAATATGCCTGGAAACATCCATCATGGAGGAGAAGCTCCTGGACCAACTGGTGGTACTCCCCATGATCCAGCCTCTTTTTCTTCTTGTTCTTTTTTCTGTTTACGTTGAAAGTTTAGTTCTATTCCCTCTGTCAAGTTTAAAATGCAAATACCGGTGTGCCAGGTGCAGCCACACCTGAGTTTTAAAGGTAATGGGAGATGACACTCTTGAGTGACTGAATTTATGTTACGCCCAAAACACACCAACGATTAATTAAGGGACTAAAAACAACCCCTTTTGCCTCTTGCATCTTACTTTGCGCCCAGATAATGCACCATTTAAAGAGGCAACAGATAGGATTCGGGTTTTTTTAGCTTGGCGCCACCTAGCGTCAGCAGTGTTGCTCGCACTGTCGCAAAAACCAAATTGAGCGTGGGGATCAGAGATAATCAATAAAATGTAGGCTGTAAAGCCACCAGTATACCTCTATGTATATGTAGAATAAGAAGGTGTGTGGACACTCTACTAAATAAATGAGTAAAGAGACCGAGCAACAATTATCAGATTTCAAGATCAAGATCAGATCTGAAGAAAAAACAAATAGTAATGCAAATAATTATAGCAGAATGCACAGTACCAGTACAAACAACAGTAGACACGTAAGGGATAATGTATAGTGAGCCGGTCACAGTTGAAAAATAACTCCGCTGCACGTCGGGGTTCCATTCCCCTGTCGGGAGTTATTCTATACATTATCCTGCTTAGAACATGGCTTACTACTAAAAGATTCAAACGTTACAACTGGCATCAATATTATTAAACTGCTGGCAGAGTGTATTGACAGAGGAGAGGCGTTCACCAGACAAACGGGAGCGGAGGAGAGGATTTCACTCCACTTCTCCCGGTCGGAGACGCTGGGTGCCCAGTAGCTGTGGCGGCGGCGGCGGCGGCGGCGGCGGCTGGGGGGTGGGGGTAATCACTGTCCAAGGGCTGCCGTAGAATGGCAACCAGGATGTGATGCTGGCCAGCTAGGAATGAACTAGCAGCCAGTACAGTACAGTCCTCTCTGGTCTAGCTAACATTTAGCCGTGTTACTTACTGATCCATTAGAAAGAAAGCTAGCTGGACATGGGTTTTGAAGCCTCTTTGGTCACGGAGCTCCCTCCATCTCTTGAACGCCTGACTGAGGTTTACTCTTGTTTTTCCTCTTCTTTTATCACTCTCCTTTTTGCTCTTCTTTGCCTCCTCACACAGAGGAGCTCCTTTTCATTTGCTAGGCCGTTTTTCACTTGTCTCCAAACTTTGTCCATCTGCTATCGTGCTCCTGACTCAACTATCTCATGCCCCGGCCAGTTCCTCCCAGCTCCAGTCCCTGATTGGCTGACCGACCAGTTTGGCAATACATGACGCGTTTCCTGATTTTTTTCCGCGAAAATTCGTCCCCGGTGGCAGAAGCTTATTGCAAAGATTGCAAAGCCATTAAGTAACCTATGTAAACGCTGATAGTCTGATTTTACTGTGTATACTACCCTGTGCAACCCACATTATTTTCATAATGATATATATAGGCAAAAATGCTGTCTGTTGCTTCTTTAACCAGCAACAGTTGAGTTGGACATGCCCTAAATGTACCATGAGTGTCATCATACCAGTCTGGATTGAACATGTGGACTCACATCAGGAGTTTATCAGGTTAAAGTTAAATTCTATACATAGGGTTGTGTTCGTGTTGTTCTTTTGTTCTCTTCTGTTGAGTTGAGGTTGTTTTACTGTCTGAATGTTCAGTATGAAAGAGGCTCAGTCCGTCCAGCTGCAGCGCTGCCAAACCTTTGTTTTACAGTTCACCTCAGTCCAAAGGTAATAAAACAAACTCAGACCGATGCTGCTGGTCTTTAGATACAAACTGGCCTGAATATTAAAGTTCAGCTAAATCATAAAAAACATTTTCTCCCTTCCTCTGACCACGGAGACACTTTTGGTCTAAACTGTCCATGTGTTGAGATTTCTGCCTCTGCACCGTTTAGTTTGTGCCACCAAACTGTGAATAGGTGAGTTTTGTAGACTGGAACTGGTGACCTTTTTCTTTTTTTCCAGTTCTTTGTGTCGCTCTTCCGACAGAAACTTTTCTTCTGTACACACCAGCTGATACTGAACCTCTGTGTGTTTCTGATAAGTTGAGCTCATGACGCTGCGCTGCAAACCTGCACGCTCTGTACATACACTATCTCCATCTGTAAACTATATACTGTAAGTCTCCAGTTTCACTTTATCTTGATATCTCTGTTTGTAGGAAGTCAATATTACACACTTCCTGTATTCGAACTCTGAGCTGATTCACTGCGATCAGTAAATCAGTTCAAGCTGTTACCACGTTGATATTCCTTTAAAACCAGGATATAAAGCTGATGTAGGTTTGTGGCGTGACCATTAGACTGTATATCTCTGGATGTGACAGCATCCAGGCTCCAGTATGTTCTAACAGAAGGGTTTGTCCGATAATAAACAGCACCTGACACCCAATTCTGCTGACTGTCATCACTTTTTGCTGCCTGCTGTCATGAGAGCTGCTTCCCTCCATACACACATCACACCTTCAGAGGTTACCCGTAAGGCCACTGCCCTTAAAGGGGAAAAAGGGTGAGCCGGTAACACTAATCATGAATATAATGTCCAGCAGCACCCAAACTGATTTGATTTAGTTCATTCAAACTCCAGTTCCTTTGTGCAGGTGTGAACACAGCAATCACACTCAAAACAACCAGACTGAGACCTTCTTGAAGAGGTGGTCTCAGTCCGGTTACAAAAGAACTCTGGTGCGGTTGGTTTGTGGTGAGAAGGTGTTCCGACCTGGATGTGAAGCAACTGCAGTCACATGACACATTGTTTGGGTTAAACATGAGCATGTTACAGTCCTGGAGGATTATTAATGTGCACCTCCTCCTGTACTGCCTTAATATGCACATTCAGCACATCCAATGCATCAAAACATTGTTTTCTAGTTGGAGCCGCGCCTCGTTTTCAAACTGTATGGTTTGACTAAAATGAACAATGACAGCAATATAGTCCACGATGAGCAGCGCTAAAATCAACCTGCGTAGTTGTCCCTCCATTGTGACATTAGAAAGTGTCACATTTATCTTGCAAGTGTACTCTTCTTCAACGTTTGCTTTACTTCCTGGATTTTTCCCACATGGAAATTCTGACCAATCAAAAGCAGCTTTCTCACACAAGGCATTTGATCTGGTCCTCTTGTAAATGCTGCCGTGAAAACCCCCACCCAATCTAGGCAATTATACAACTCTGGAACAACATGAGTCCCTGATTCAGACCAGAGAAGACGACTCTAGGGCTGACAGCACTCTGAAATATCTCTAAAACTATCAGATGGATTGTCATGGAATTTTGAGCTGACATTCATGATCCTCAGAGGATGAATCCTGCTGACTTTGTTGATGTCACAGGACCAGGATGCCTAAATATAGCCTCACAGAGCTTCTAGCTTGGCTGTAAAAGCTTGTTTATTGTCTCACTACCTGTCCATGACTTTAGATTTCAATATTTGTATCCTGTTCCAGAATCAGATGTTAAACCATTTTCTTTATTCATTGTTGTATTCATTTTTTATTTAGTTATTTAGTTAATTAAACTAAATCTGATTCTTAATCCGTTGTGGGTTTCTTTTAATAAAAGGTCCGACACACCTCCCTGTGGACACATTGCATGTCATGAAGATATTTAAATTGCAGCTACAGTATTCACATGAACTCTGCAGTGAGTCAGCTGGTTATCTAACTGTACCAACCTCATCGCATGATGGGAAAGTTTGTGGCTGCAGTCATCAGCATTCTCTGCTGAGCCTCGAGCTTTGTGGCAAAGACCCATGTTTAAATATCCTTTACTGTAAAGGAGAATCAAATGTAAAGGCATGTGGACAACCTCATTAACTGCCAAGATATTTCGTGATGCGTCTGTCTTCAATAAATACATTTAGGAATTGGCTGAGGTCGCAGCTCAGCTGTGGTCGGAGGAATGGAGAGGGAAAGTGGAAAGGCAATGAGCTTTAACCAGAAAAATGTCCTAATGAAAGACCTGCAGGCCAAAAACCAGGAAGCCGTTTCAGGTCACAAGTTCAAAGTATTTCTGTGCCTCCATTGTGAAGCTGTGCAGCCAAACCTCAGTCCTGCTCTGCAGTAAAAACACTGAGTCCTCCTCTGCCCAGTGCTGAACTCTTTCTGGTCCCATCCTGTGTGAAATGTACAGCAGGGTGGCAGTCAGAACAAGTTCTGTGTGGTTAGCCAGATGTCCCTGAACGCACCGTCCCTTAACTGATGTAAGAGCAGGGAGTCCTCTCTTAAATGTCAGTCGACCGCTGCCATGGGAAACATCCACCCAGAGGCCTGAAGCACAGACAGTGTTTCCCCAAATACATCCAAAAATGGAAAAGGAAAAATACTGTAGTTTATAATCCTGACACAGAAAGTATTTAAAAGTGCTTTAAAGCCACTTCGACTGACAAACATTACCAAATATGTCCTCACCCTGCTGGTAACACACCTATCTGTGTCTTTCAGGTACTGGCTGCAGTCCAGATCTGCTCTTCTTCCTGTGCGCCATGTACGCTCCCATCTGCACCATCGACTTCCAGCATGAGCCCATCAAACCGTGCAAGGCGGTGTGTGAGAGGGCGAAGCACGGCTGTGAGCCGGTGATGAAGCGTTACAACCACAGCTGGCCCGACAGCCTGGCCTGCAGCGAGCTGCCGCTGTACGACCGTGGAGTCTGCATCTCACCTGAGGCTATTGTTAAGGCAGAGGGACCAGGTAGTGTTACGTTTATCATTCATATTATCATCGTCATTTTTATATTTCACTCATTCTTGAGAATTTGCAAAAAAAAAAAAAAACTTATTTATTTAAGGTTTTTGATTTTTACTTTTCAGTTATGCTGGGATTTTTATATAT